TTGGGGGGGGGGGAATGGGATACCTGTAACACTCTCAACAATAAAGATAAATTGGAAAAGTAAAAAAAATAATAATAAAATAAAAAGAAATAAAATTATAATTTTGTACAAAAAACTTGTTTAAATCTACAGATAAATTTTTAGTACATATGATATAGTTCAGCAAGTTTCTAAAGTCAATGGTATTTTTGCATCCCAAACAGAAAATGAAATCATTTACTATAGAATCAAATACTATCAAATACCTAAGATAAATCTAATGAAAAATATGCAAGACACACACCACCATTACTGAAATAATTTTAAGTAAGTGGTAGGATATCCCATGCTCAGGGATTGAAAATTTCATCTTTGAAAAGATATCAATTGTCCCCAAATTAATTGATCCATAGATCCAACATCAGCTCAGTCAAAAACCCCAATAGGTTTTCTGTGGAACTTAATAAGCTGATACTAAAACGTATGTGGAAATGCCAAGGGCCAAATATACCCATGAGCAGTGAAGAAGGAAAACAAAGTGATAAAACTTGTCTACTGGATATCAAGATTTACATAAAGCTATAGAAACTACGAGAGTGGTAATATGGGTGGTGCATGATTAGACAAACAGGCCAATAAACAGAATAGATTCCAGAAAGAAACCTACACATATATGGTCACCCGATGTGTTGGCAAGGTGGCACTGAAGAGCAGTGGGGCAGGGACAGCATTTACAACAAATGAGACTTGGTCAAATTGGATTTTTTAAAAACTGAAATTAAATTTATCCCCTACCTCACACTCAACAAAAAACCCAATTCCTAGTGAATTCTAGATGTACATATACAAAGTAAAACAATAAAAGTTTCAGACAATAACATAATAGCTTTATCATCTTGGAGTTGGGAAAGATATCTTCAACAGGTACTACCATAAAAAAATAGCATGGTAAATTAAATCTTCATTAAAATGAAAAATGTCTGTTCATCGAAAGGTTTATTTAACAGTGAAAGGCAAACCACAGACTGGGAGAAGGTATTTCCACCTACAGAACCAACAAAAGGCTCATATCCAGATTACATAAATAATTCCTACAAATTAATAAGAAAAGTAGTTCAGAGACATTATTTAAGAAGGATATTCAAAATGGCCAACAAACATTCAGGAAGTATCACCACACTGCCTCCAGAGTGGCTAAGATTAAAGACTGACAGTGTTAAGTGTGAGAGAGCATATGAAGAAACTGGAACTCACATAGACTACTGGTGGGAGTGGAAATTGAGAAAAGCACTGGGGAAGACTGTTTGGCAGTATTTACCCAAACTTCACATATGTATGCTCTTCTAGGTATATATCCAACAAAAATGTGTACAGCAAAAAACATAAAAGAATGTTCAGACCAGCACTATGTAAATAACTTCAAACTAGAAACAACCTAAATGGATGAAAGTCACAAACATAATGCTGAGGAGTCAGAATATATGTGACGTGACGTATGATTCCATTTGAAAGCTCAAAAACAGGCAAAACTAACCTGTTGACGTCAGCAATAGTGTTTGCCTCTAAGAGGAGTAAGGTTTGTGACTAGGAATTGGATGGCTGGGCTCTCTGGGAGCTGGCAACGTTCTCATTCTTGACCTGGATGGTGTTATACAAGTGCTCACTTTGTAAAACTTACTGAACTATTTCTTTTGTGCACTTTTCTGAGTGACATACTTCATTTTTATAAGTTCGACATTTTCATATCTATCCCTTCATTCTAACAAGGCAAGAACTTTTTCATGTTGATATTGTCTAAAATTCTTATTATGAATACTTTTATCTTTCTCCTCCTATACACTTTATCAAAATATCTGACCACTCCCCTAGTTCTTGTGCCATCTCCTAGACTTGCTTTTTGTTAAGTATTTTCTCCAAAAATGTTTACAACATAGATCTGAGTGGTAAATCTTAATGTTTTTAGGCCCTCATATTTGAATAACAATTTAAATGGATGTTAAAATTTTAGGCCCAGTGCTTCAAAAGTATTTTCTTATAACCAGCATTGCTCTTGAAAAGATTGAGGTCAATCTAATTCTTGGTCCTTTATAGAATGATTTACTGTCTAAGAAAGCTTTTAGATTTTTCTCAATATCTTTGATACTCAATTTTAAAAAATGTTTTAATATTTTAAAAAATTTAGAGAGAGGAAGTGAGAAACATTGATGAGAGCGAAATATCAATCAGCTGCCTCCCGCATGCCCCCCACTGGGTATTGAGCCCACAACCCAGGCATGTGCCCTGACAGGGAACCAAATTGGCAAACCTTCCATGCACAGAATGACGCCAAACCAACCTAGCCACACCTGCCAGGGTATCTTAATTTTTTTTTAAGATTTTTTAAATTGATTCTAGAGAGAGGAATGAATTTTGATGTGAGAAACATCAATCAGTTGCCTCCCACATGCACCCCAACTGGGGATCGAACCCCACAACCTGGGTATGTGCACCTTTCGGTGTACAGGATGACACTCCAACTAAAGGAGCCACACCAGCCAGGGTGAAACTCATAATTTCAGTATGTGTCTAAATGTGGGTACTTCCTTCTGTCTCATTTGGCACTCTGGCCCTTCAATCTTTAATTTTTCCTCTTCTGGTCTTTTGTTACCTGAATTTTGGCATATCTTGTGTCCTTCACCTCACTTAAATCTGCATTCATATTTACTATTTGGTATCTTTTTTTTTGCTTCTAGGAGTTTGTCAATCTGATTTTCCAACTCACTAATTCATTCTTCAGCTATATCTATTCTATGTTTACTCCATTTTATTGTTCTTTATTTAAATATTAATGTTTTTATATATTTATACTTAGTTTATTTCTTATTCTTATAGCACATTACCAAAATCTTTTTTTTTTTTTTTTAAATGTTTATTGGCTTTATTTTTAATTTCTGGTGGTCTTGTTTTCCTTTGAACCAGTGGCATCTTTTAGTTACCTCTCTACTTTGGCTTGTGAACTCATTTACCCTGGTGGTATGGGCTCTTCTGAGTGATGGTGCCGCTGGGGAAGAGCTGAGGGGCAGGCCTCTAGGCTATGCTGGAGGTTCAGGGAGGGAGTAAGAAAAGCAACAGGGCAAGCACTACAAAAGCCAGTTCATCCTTTCAGCTTGTTATCTACTAAGCAGTCCTCAGATTAGGGCTTTCCTTTCAGACACCATCGGAGAAATGGCAATTTCCTAAGGTACTTTGAGAATCTTGGGTCTAGATATTAACCCACTAGTCCTATGAATCTGGAGAGGAAGAGCGAACAAATAATGCAGCTGGTCAATCCTTACCCGCTTTCCCCAAGTCTTGAACCCAAAGAGCTTCTGTGCTGCCCTGATTTTATCTGTGAGGACACCTGCAGCAGAAGTCTGCTTCACTGTGCTAGTACCTGCTGTGAGAAAGCAGGCAAAGCCAACTGGTTTCCTCTAATGAATCCACTCATAGACATTCAGCCATTCACACCACCACCAAGAACCACTTCACTATAGACTCCCGTGTCCCCTGGGAGTTCTAACTTTTTTTCTTTTAGTTATCTAAACACACTAAAAAACCCACAACATTCTAATAAAAATATAACAGAACTTTACATGGTTTTATTTATACATTACTGGTATTGAAAGCAAATTTTATACAAAAAAGTTTTATACAGATAAAAAAAAATTCCTTGGCTAGGCAAAGCCATTTATATACGTGTGTATACACAAACACAAATACACACAAAATATTTTACATCATTTTAAGTATACATATTTACAGATATACTATTTAAATTACTTTACAATTTTCCAAAATGAGAGGCCATTAGAAAAGCAAATAAAAATATATGAAAACAAACTAAATAATGGTTAATTTAAAAATGCTACAAAACTATTTTTAAAAATCTGGAAAAGAAACTCATTTCTTTGAAATATCAAAACTAAGGTTTCAATATTATATCATTGCAGCTTTTAATAACAAATCCTAACCTGTTTAAAAATAAGTATTTTGATCAGTAACAGATAAACAAATCAGACTGATGACTGGAACAAGCTGACCTGAGAGTAAAGAGCCAGCAAGGAATAACAAATGTAGATAATCTAGTAATCAAATGTCATAAAATTGCCCTCTACCCCCCCATTTAAAACATGAGGAATTCCAAGCTTCTGTGTAGTATGCAATATCAAGACTCCAAGGAACTCAGCAACTTATCTGTAATGTAAGAAAATGCTGAAGTTATGATTCTATTTTTATGATGTGACCATATCATAGGTGTTGTTCTTTTAAATGAGTTCTACTTAGATAATATTGATGTTAAAAACTAGCCTTTTACAGAATAAATTTGGAAACTTTATCATTATTATACTCTGATTTTGAAAAGAATTTAATGAGACTATAGTACTTGGGGGTAAAAATCAATTAAGAAATAAACCAGAAATGAAATTAACACATTAACTATGCTATCATGCAAGCAAATAAAAGATCTGTAATGGAATTTGGAAATTTCAAACTAATAACCATCACTTCCAGATACAAGTGAATTCTTTCATGAATGTACATTAGCTTCACAAGAGAATGGAAGTCATATTTTTAGAAAACATCAGGTAAATCAAAAAACTCAGTTTAATTTCTTAAAGGCAATGAAAACTTTAAAGCAAAGTAAATCTGAAAAATAACCAAGTCACTGTTGCCTTAAACTATTTTTAAAGGTTCTTTAGAATAAGCTTTTTCTTCAAATTCCCCATTATTAAATCTCACATTCTGAATTATATAAGTAGAATTTTAACTTCACAATAAACTACTAAATATCTTCCTAAGATCTCAATAGCAAACTAGTTGCTTTGAAAGGCTACTGAAATTAACAGTTTCTAAAGACAGTAATTTACATCAGATCTAGAAACAGATTTATAACTCAAATATACTGAGAGCACTTCACACTGAGGTCTATGGCCAAATATGGTTTCTATTCCAATTTAATTTAATTTGAAAGTAATTTAATTTAAAATTGGGTGTTTTGCATGTAAATAATCATGACTACAAAGCAACTACAAAAATAGTGATATCTTAAATATCTTTACAATTTTTCTTATGTAAAGTCAGAAATCCTTCTGATAAACATTGATGCCTTAATAAACCTGTACAAGAATGGCTTAAAAAAAAGCCGGAGGAAACATGTCTGTGAACATTATTCATAATTTAACATGGTAAATTATGTCATCTATTTAGATGACAATGGATTTCATGTTTACCAGTGTATGTTTTGTATTTTAAAGTATTTTAGCACTCCTAAAATATGAAAAAACTTTTAAAATTATTAAATTATGACTGCAGACTTCAATGCCTGTAAAACAAACTGCTATTTAAAAACTTTTTATTTATCATTTATAAAAAAATTTTTTATTAATCATCAAATGGATTTTCCCCCCACCTTAGACTCATCATCAGTCAACTGAACTGCAACTCTGAGCATGTCCTGTGGATTTGGTGACCTTAGAAGTCTGCAAGAGCAATCATCCTCCAAGCTGTGAGTGAAGCAGGAACTCAACTTGATGTCTCACCCACTACTCACACCTTAAGGACTAACAGCTCATTAACTTTGCACAGTTACAGTATCAAACATTTATTTTACTAGTCTCTTGTAGTATAACTGTTAACTACCTGCATTTTGACTTTTCAAAGAGCTTCAATAGCTGCTGGAATCTTTCTGAGACCTGAAAAGTAAAAAAGGGGTATTAATTATAAACACTGCAATAAGATTTTAGAAATTTGTAATGGCTATTTTCATAAAATATCTAAAGGAAGTTACTGTCAATAATAAAGAGATGAAGTAATGTCTGGAAAAATAAAATATCTTCATACTGAAGGTCACTGCTAGTTTAACTTTCAATATTAAACTTTCTTTTTTTTTATTGAATTTATTGGGGTGATATTGGTTAATAAAATTATACAGGTTTTAGGTGTTCAATTCTATTATACATCATCTGTATGTTCTATTGTGTGTTCACCACACCAAGTCAAGTCCCAATATTAAACTTTCTTAAACAAGTAAACATTACAAAATTGTTTAAGCTCAAATAAGTAAATGTTAAGAAAACCAAAAACAAATTAGGATTGTTCTTCCACAATCACCAAGTTTTTAACAGTTCTACATAAAAAGCCATACTTTTAAAGTTGGCAAATAAGTATCTACATATTTTAAACAAGTTAAAATGAAATCTAAGTATTTAGAGTAATAATTTAACCTGTGAAACTATAGAGATGTAAAAATTGGAAAGTTACCTGAGATGAATTTTTATTCAACTTGGCAGCTACATAAGAAAATGTTTCCATTGATGGCCCCCTTTTCTGACACTCCAATAAAATTTCCCGATCATCATTTCTACAGGGAGAAAATGCTATTTAGCTTTTGTAGATTAGAGCAGAAAGTTAACAAAAATTCCACTGCCTTTAATGTCCATCAACAGGTTGTGAAATTTTTATTAAAATCCGTAAAAAAATGAAAAAGTGTGTATATCAAAACACATACAATCATTATCTCTGAGAAGATTATGGATGATTTTAATCTGTAAGGTCATACATATTTTCAAATTTTTCTAAAACTAAATATACTCATTTATTATTCTAATGACAAAAGTATAGATTTTTTAAAAGTCTACCTTTAATGCATACAATACTTTAAAAATTAGGGCCCAAACATGATGACAGACTTAATAATCAAAAGAACAAAAATAAAATAGAATCCAAATCTTCCAATTCCCAGGCCTCTGCTTTTTGTACATGGTCAGGAACCAATATGCATTATTACAATCTCTGAAATTTTATTGTGCCATCTCTAAATTACCTGAAATGAAGGCATAGGTGACTGTGGTATTAAACAAAATCAATCACCAATTTCAACAAAATTCAGCTTCCCTCATTATGCACTCTAGCTAAGTCTGCAGATCTTAAACCTCTAGTCCAATGGTTCACAACTGTGGTTACCCGTATGTCTGAAATGGGGGCTTAAAAATCTGCATTTCTCAAAAAGTTCACATAAAAGTCAAAAGTACAACCTGTTTATGAAACTTCTGAAATTCTTATACTCTCACACTTTTTGCTTTATTTCATCATCAGCTGTCATTCTTCCTTTCTAAAATGTGGTAACAGTTCTTTACAATGTTTTTAGTTAAGAAAGTGAGGTTAAAGCACAATGAAAAGTTCTATCCATGGTGCTAATGCACATCTCTGGTTAAGAGCTGCTGCTATAGATTATACCCTAGAATGTATCCTCTACTAACTTTGGCTACTTTCGAAGTTGTCACTTTCCTTATTTTAGGATTAGATATAACTATGACATGACAGAATAGATTTCTGGCCTCTCAAAATTTCCTGGTAATTGAAATCTCATAAGATCCTTACCTTGTCCAGGAAACTATAATTTCTCCTTTCTTTTTAATAATATTCTTTGCAGAAAGGTTTATAGAAGTGCCAGATACTGCTGATGGGTCCTTAATCCCTGGGCTTGCCTTTAACGATGAGGGCTCTTTAGTCACTGCAGGGGCCTTTTTCTTACTGGCTTTCCTTTGGTGAGCTTCACCATTCTCACCAGAATTTTGGGTAGTTTTCTTGGTCTTTTCCTTACTGGTTAAGTCTATTTCCTTTCTCTGTTTTTTCTGAATAGACTGGTTTAGATTAGGGAGTTTTTTTCTCTTTTTGTGAGCATTATCCAAAGCCACAGGCAACTCTAAACTATCAGAGTTTGATGTCGGTTCTGATTTTAAACCCTTTTTTACTTCACATGAACTGGGAGAGTCCGAGGTCAAATCGATACAGGCTTCCTCAACCATGCATTCCAAAGGCTTGTTTGCAACTTGTACCTTTTCTTCCTTACAGTTATCTTCATCTACACAAAACACCTGACATCCTAAGTGTCCACCAGCAGGATGGTTATCTTCACTTTTGCTCTCACTTGAAACATCTTGTGTCAAATCAATAAAAGCATCTACAGTATCAGGCTGCACATTGTCTAATAGCTGAGCATTTTGATCCAAACTGCTTCCAGAACATCCCAATTGATTAATGTTTAAAACTCCTACTTCCATGAATTCCCCCAAGTTTTTAGTCTCAGTGACTGGATCTTTTGTGAGGTCGACATATGTGTTTGGAAGATGACCCTCAACAGAATGTGGAATTTCTTCCATGGGAGGCAATCCTGCAATGCTTTCAGGCACTTTTGGAAGATGACCCTCAACAGAATGTGAAATTTCTTCCATGGGAGGCAATCCTGCAATGCTCTCAGGCACTTTTGGTTCCCATACTTGATGCAACTTGAAGCACTGATCAGCCACTTCATTACTATGACCCACTTTACCTGAAGCGTCTTTAAGGAATTCATATATATCAGGAACCTGTGTTTGTATCATACAGCCCTGTTCTTCATGAGCTGATTTACTGCTGTCAACATTTTCATTGGAATGTTTCAATTCCTCCACAGATTTAAAAACTGTGCTCTGACATGAAATACATTCCTTCTCTGCTGCTTCATCAGTTTCCTTTACCACTCTGGGCAAAGATGTCAATGACTCACCAGCCACCACATTCTGTACAAGACTCGGGGAGGTAGATGGTGCCGCGTGCCGTATTTTCACAATGAAGTGATCATTGGACTTTTCCATGATGACAGCATGCATGGGCAGATTAGGGTGGTACTGAAAGCCTGGAGCAACAGACCGGCTCGTCCATGATGAAGAACAACTTGACTTACTGCTTGAATTATCAGACTCCAGAGCTAAGTGGATGTCCTGTTCGGACGCATCCTCTTCCTCAAGTAAGGCATCCTCACTAAAGTGGGCACTAATAACTTCTTCAGGAGTTGAGCTAGACAACACTTCAGGCTTTAAGAAACTGAGATGACCATCTGACTTCAGCGGTGATGGTACTGTTAGAGATACTGCTAGATCTTCAAGCAGTATGGAAGAAATACAGGGCTTGCTCTTCTCTGAACTACATACATTATCTTTACTTAAAGCTATGTTAGTGGATACTTCAAACATACAACTTTCATCCAACACATCAGGATGAACTGGCAATGAAAGCCCTGAAGACAGAGATGGACCTTTTTCAGATGATAATAATGACCAATTATCATCACTCATCATTTTAGGACATGGAGAAACAACCCCTGAAACTAGTTCTTCCGTTGTACAGGCTGGTATAGATTCACATTTAAGACTCTCTAGCAGTTGTTTCTCTGGAGTCTTTAACTCCCATTCACTTTTTTCATTACAATTAACACTGTTGTCCAAAAGATCAGACCCTTGCAACAAACTTTTAAATATCTCACCCATCTGTGCATCACTCACTAAATTAAAAGTGAGACTAGATGCTTGCTGTTCAGTAAGAATCTCAAAACAGCGTTCTGGCTTCAAAGCTGCATGCTGGGAAGTCTGTGTATCCTCTATGGTGCTGCTTTCTATTTTTCCTGGCTTTGGGGTGCTTGGACAATTCAGTTCCAGGGAGTGCTCTTCAGACTGAGAGCACTTAATATTATCAAGGCAAGTGTTAAAGCTTTTTTTAATGTCATGCTTTACTGTGTTAATATCAGAGTTATTTTGGTCTTGATGTTTGTCCTCAGATTTTTTACATCCCAGTGAAGACCTAAAATAAACAGAATCTTCTGATTTTGAGGATTTCTCTTTTGGCATCTCTTTGCTGGAGTTGACTGCATTCCCCTTCTGACAATTTGAATATTGTGTTTTCTCTTTTTTTTTTTCAAATTTCCCTTCATCGCTGTCACTGCCAAAGTTTATGAAATCACAAAACTTTATTAAGATTTTCTTAAGCTTTGCAAACAAATGATCAAGTTGTTCATCTACAAATTTCCATGCTTTTTTTTTCATATCTGGTAGTTGTTGTTCAAATAAGCGATCCACTATGCCATTCTTTTTAACTTGCTTAAGTTTGGATTCTATAACATCACAGAGATTCTTCTGTAAAGTAGTCACTGACTTAGAGATTTTGGATAAGTCAAGGTGTTTAATGAGTGATGTAAAACTCAAAATTGCTGACTCAATAATTCTATGAAATTGTTTTAATGGAAATTTTACCTTGAATTTCATGTAGTTTTTCCTCACATGTTTTCTTATCATTCGTAACATGTGCATAACCTCTGGTACAGAAGAAGGTACGGCAATAATAGGAACTATTTTTTCCAGGACGGAGGTGCTCATTGTCTTATCTTTTTTCTCTGTTTTCAAAGACTTGCTAGATTCACACTGTCTCTTACTCCATTTCCTTTTGGTCTGCTGAACTTTTACAGATGTTTTCCTACTGTCTTTATCCAAATGCACAGTACTTTTCCTACTTCCTGGGCTAGTTTTTCTGTTCTGCACTTCAGTAGAAGTTCTAGGTTTGGCACTTTCTTCAAAACTATTTTGTGGTTTAGAGTTTTCACTGTCGCTTATAATTTCTCCTTCTTCTAATTCATCTAAAGAGGAATTCTTATGAGAGTCTGCCTCTGTAAATTTGTCAGACTTGCAAACTGGCTTTTGATTTTCCTTGTTGAGATCAGACTGACTCTTGGAGGTAGAATGAGTTGCATTTGGTGGAAACATATCTGTCAAAGAGAAAAGTATATTATAGTCACATGACTACTGAGTCTTAGTCATTTGATATTTCCATACTGAACAAAAAAATGTAAATACTGAGGCATTTCATTATTTTAATAGCTTTTTTTTCTTAAGCAGAATGTTAATGCCTAACAGTTATTCATGTCATTGGTCTTTACTGTTCACTGTTCCCAGGTGCTCAGGTGTCTGACAACAGTGATAATGTAGAGTTTGGGCATTTGGATAACCATCAACCAACTGTTCGGATATCTTTACTTCAGGTTAGGCGATGGCTTTTGAACAATAAAAATATATCTGAAAGAAAGCAGAGAGTATTTGAAATAATCTGTCCTACCACTTCCTTTTTATATAGAAATAAGAATTACTTAAATTCACCCTAGCTAGTTTGGCTCAGTGGTTAGAGTGTTGGCCTATGGACTGAAGGGGGCACGTACCTCGGTTGTAGGTTCAATCCCTGGCCCTGGCTGGGGTGTGTACGGGAGGCAAACAATTGATATGTCTCTCTCACATCGATGTTTCTCTCTCTCCCTCCCTTCACTCTCTCTGAAAAGCAATGAAAAAACATCCTCGGGTGAGGATTTAAAAAATAAAAATAAAATAAAATTACCCTTATTTTTAAAAAAAGAATTATCTAAATTAAGACTAAAGGCTCAATTTCTAGTTAACAATGAGAGTCTGAATGAGTTAACATGTTATCAAAAAAGAAAAAGCACTACTTCATCTTGCTTATATATTTTACGTTCTCACAAAAAGATAAATTGTAAAATATAAACTATTACCTTTATGAATGTTATATATTGGAACTCGAGATGGGCTTTCCAGTCTAAGTGCTTTTGCTACAGGTCTCACTGGACTATTGAGAGGACTAATGACTTCTGGAATAGGTCTTAGGTGATTAAAGTCAATGCTCAGAACTGAGTTCTCATCATTATATACTGAGTTTGTTTCACCAATTTCCATTTTGTGGTCCATTAACTCAGTGTGCTGAAGTGAAGATTCTAGAGTCTCTTTAGGTAAGCAAGGCTCCAAATGACAAGACTTACTCTCAACCAGTGGTGTATCTACAAGAGAAGGCTCAGACTTTGGGTTACCAACTTCTGAAAGGACTACTGGCAAAATGCCAGCTTTTTCCATTGAAGGCTGCAACACACTTTCATTGGATTTAGCCACTTCTGTTGAAAAAGCCACCTTCATTTCCATATCTTCAGAAATACTACAAGAATTTAAACTGCCATTTCTTTTGGTATCCAATTCCAAGCCTAAGTTTTGAGAAACATTTGTTTGTAATATGTCCAGTACTACAGGAGCTGCTGTCCTTGCACCATTAATGGTTTGTTCCATTTCTGCTGCTGATGGAAACGACGATTCTGTTTGTTCTATTTCCACAGGTGTTAAGGAAGAAGTCTCTGTACCACAAATGGGCAAGTCACAATGCACAGTATTCTCTACAGATTTAACTAACAAACTATTTTCTTCTTCCATTTTCTTTTCTTGAATATTGGTCCAGGGTTCAGATGATGCTGTTGCAGGAGCATCTTTTGGTTCCAATAACTTTGATTTGGCTTCCTCTGTGATATGTTCATTCACAGTGGGAACACATGTCACTGTTTTATCCTGTACCAAGGAGTCCACATCACATATACCACTAGATTTGGGAGTACTGATTATTTTATGCTGATTATTCTGAGGAACAGGATGCTTTTTAGCAGGAGAAAGAGTTAAGTTCAATTTTTCCATAAAACTCAACTTTAAGTCTTTGTTTTTTGTTTCATTTGGACCATGCTCAGCTTTAATTGCAAGGTCTTTATTATCTGCGCCTTCAGAAACATTATTAGAGACTTCACCTTTATTTTTCGGTCCATTCTGTCTCTTTAAATCAGTAGTGGTTTGCTTAGTTTCTCTGTTATTCTTCTGCAAATGTCCTGTAGGTGTTCTTTTTTCACTTCTCATATACCTGTTTTCTTCTTTACTTTCTTGTTCTCTTTTCCTCTTATCTTCAGTTCTATGCCTTTCAGCTTCTAAAGGTGTATTTTCCCTTTGGTGCACAGCATCAACTTCCTTGGAATCAATGTGTTTGTGAGTTCTATTGGTTGAAAGAGAGGATGAACATCTTCCTTCTTGAAAACTATTATTTACACCCCAGTCTCTTTTACCATCTTCCCTTTCTCTTCTCTCTTCCAGATGGTATTTACTTAAATTATGAGATTTTATTTCATTCTTGGAATGAGGAAGAGATGAAACTCGTTCAGACCTTCTCCAATAATCCTGATCTTTCACTATTGATTTAGGTTTTTGATCAACTTTTCTTTCTTCTTTGTCTTGTGATTTAAGTTCCTTTTTACTTATATTTTGTGATCTTTCACTTTGCCTTTCTAGTTTTCTGTCACTCTGAGATTCTACTCGACTGTGTGACCTCTCTCTAAAGGTCTCTTTCTGCCAGAAACAGCCAAAGCGTTCATTTTTATAATCCAAATCTGTGTTACTTTTAAACTTCGAATTCTTGCTTTCAGCCTTTGGTTCACCTTTACCATATTTCTCAGGACGTCCTTGTAGCCTTTGACTAGCCTCTATGTTCCTTGGTTCACCATCACCACAGCTAGTGTTTAAGTCTTTTCGTATTCTATCAGTTCCTCTACTGTATTGGCCATATCCAGTATCTTTTTTCCCTCTTCTATTATCCTCATTTGAGCTACCCTCACCAACCTGATAATGGGAACGTGACCAAATGCCATTGGTGCAGTGTTTTTCAACAGGTGAAGGTAAATGCAAAGTGCTCTTTTTTTCCAAATGCAATTTTACTTCCTTTTCAATGCTTGGCAGTAAAGTGCTATGATGTCCATCTTTAGAAACATCACATTTCATTCTGTGTTCAGTCTTTGCACAATCATCCAAATGGGGAGGTCTGGATGTAAGATCTTTTGTTTTAACTGTATCTGATGTCCTTGCAGTTTTACGATTATTTCGAAAATGTGGAAACTCAGACAATCTATTAAGAAAGAGAAATTAACAACAAAAATAAACAAAGTTATTGCTTTTTTAATAATCTCAAATTTTAATCACTTGTGATACACTTTAAAATTCAGGGGCCCACATACTAGAAAAACTAATTTTACGTTGTATAAAGGCATGAGTAATAAGAATTTACTAGCTTCCAACTAAATTGGCAAGTTTTTCAAAACATGGAACTCTCATTTCTTTTCTCAAACAAGATATGGAGAATGTTCCTCAGTTGTATCCTAGCACTTGCCAATGTCTTTCAGACTTCCTTCACCACAGGCATAGAATTCCCAAACTAACCACAAATTCACTTCCTTTAGAACAATGATATTATTTTTTTGCCCTTACTCACTCTAGCCCAACTACATAGAAGGAAAAGTGACACTTTGTGGGACAACAGAGATGATCTGTTTTACATATAATCCGACAGTAAACCAAAGCATCACTAACCACCTAAATTGGCACATACTGTGCAAAGAAAAAGAATATAGAGTTGTAATTCTTTCCTAAGGGAATGGTATTTATTGTTTTGTTTTTTGAAAAAGCGTAAGTCTTAAGGTTTTATATTAGTGTTTCAGAAAACCAGCAGTTATCTTAACAAAAATGTAAATACCTCATTTTAGCTTTTTATAATAAGTCCATCTTCCTGAACTTACATAATTTCCCATAAATGTACTCCCAATTAGTACTACGTGGAGAGAGTAAGAGGAGATTTTTATAGAACAAAAGAGGACACATCTAGCTGGCATGGCTAAGCAGTTGAGCATCGACCTATGATCCAAGAGACTGAGGTTCAATTCCCAGTCAGGGCACATGCCCGGGTTACAGGCTCAACCCCCAGTAAGGGCCGTGCAGGAGGCAGCCAATCAATGACTCTCTCATCATTTATGTTTCTATCTCTCTCTCTCCCGCTCTTTTCCTCTCCCTGAAATCAAAAAGGCATTAAAAAAAAAAAAAAAAAGACACAGGATATATATAACCTAAGGCAATGTGTAGACCTTATATGGATCTTGTTTAGTTGAACTGTATCTCCTCAAAATTCATTTGTTGAAATCCTAACCCCCAGTATCTCAAAATGTGACCTTATTTGGAGACAGGGTCTTTACAAAAGTGTCCTGGTTTGGGCAATAATTTAAATGGTCATTCTACACCTAGGTCTCTAACTTATACCAGCTGAATAAATGATGGATTTGAATAAATGATGGGAAATCCATTGAGCTCAATGGAAGAGGTTTGATCATAATTCAGTTTTGAATGAGGTAATTTTGAAAATTTTGTGTAGATGTGAAGTAGTTATCTACATATAAATGGAACTGACCTAGTATAAGATTACCTTATATGGAAATACTAATGGGGGGAAGGGGACATCTGTAATACTTTCAATAATAAAGATAAATTAGAGAAAGAAAAAAGAGAAAAGAGAAAAAAGAGAAAAGAGAAGAGACAAGAGAAGAGAGAGAAGAGAAGAGAAGAGAAGAGAAGAGAAGAGAAGAGAAGAGAAGAGAAAAAAGACTGACAGAGAAAGGAAAGGATATAGATTTGAGCTTTGAGGAATTCCAACTTAGCCAAGTACAGAAGAGTAAATCTCAATTTAGGAAGAAAACTGAGAATTACAAAAGCCAAAGGGAGAGGACTATTTCCAGAAAAGAGGGTCAACTATGTCTAACAGCATAAGAAAAGTTAAAATGAGAAGACATATTTAGTGGCAGTCACTGTTAACCAAATTACAACTGTTTCAGTGAACCAATGGAAACAGAACTCAGCATGTACTAGGTTCAAGAGTAAGTAGAAACAGGAAATGGAGACAGAAAGTTTATATAACTGTTTTGGAGGTAGGACTATGAAGGAGAGGAGAGAGATGAAATTCTCTAGAGCAGAACACTGGTCCCAACCGGAGAGAGACAGAGAGAGAAGTAGAAAATCCACTTGATAGGGAAAAGGATATATAATTGAGAGAGATTCTCAGGGTTGTCTACTGATAACGGATATGAGCACAGATGCACTGATACTTTAGTAATTTGGTGGGGGTCTAAAAGAACCCATAACATCATCTTCTCAGGAGCAGAGAGTGCCAGAGCAAGATCCCAGTGTATTAGAAAACTGAATATATTCAGAAAGAGGTATGTGGAAATATTCTATTTAATAATCATATATACTATTATGATAATATACCACTAGAATATACCATTAGTTACTTATAGTAAAACCTTACACATTTAATAAAATGCATGACTTTCATATACTTCCAAAGTTACAAATATCACACATATCAACACCCATGTAATTTATAGATCCACACCCTTGAATTATACCTTTGGTGAAGGTTACTTATTTCTTCATCCTTGCGGTTTATTTCCATTCTAGCGGTTTTGATAAGTGCTGAAATATTCTTCTTAAGAGATTGGTTTTCATTTTTTAAGCTGAAATTCTAAATATCATAAGATATATTTAATAAAGTATATTAAACTATTATTTAATAAAGCATTATTAAACTATTTCTTGTAATAGCTAATTATTATTGAAAGCTAACTACATTCCAGGCAGCACATATTATGTCTTATGTAATTCTCAAGAAAGTTCTATGAGAAGTACTATTATGCTCATTACACAAATGAGCCAGCTGAGATTTAGAGAAGATAAACAGCACCAGAGAAAGGCCATTTAAAGTGAAACTATTTAAAATAGAAAGCAAAATGAAAACACAAATAGAAAAAAGTTCTTCCAGGACTATTATCTTGAAAACTGAAAATAAAAATGATAAAAATTGTGTTATATTTAACAACTTAGCTTTAATTTGCAAAATGTACTAATTCTCAGATGAACTAAGAGTGAATCTAGAATTGGCTGGTTCTTTGGGAGAAAGGGAAAAGGAAGATAAACATTACCAAAAAATGAAAAATCAGAACAAGAGATAACATTCCTAATTTTTGCAGCATGATCACCAACTCTGGCAAAAATTCTGAAAGCATCATCATTTTCCCCAACAGCAATTCTAAACCTTTGCTTATCAAACCATTCTTTCTCTCTCTCTTTTTTTTCTTAAACCATTCTCTTTTAAACCACCTAATCTCATCTCTATGAATTTTCTATTATTTAACTGTTAACTAGCTAACAGATCTTTTATGTAAACGTCATTTAACAAATAAAGCAGTTTTCCTACATCGATTATGTAGGAAATTATGCATGTTTTGTCAGATTTTCTATTTCACTTAATATTAAAAAGAAAATTTCCTTATAAACTGCCAACACTTTGGCATTCTAATTTCTAACAAAAGGTTTTTTAAATTTTGATTTTAAAAGTTATATAGGGAAAAAATATTCATTATAATCGTACCTGTGTTTGTATTTCCTTAAACTTTTTCATCAGTTCTTTCATTTGTAGCTGACATTTTCCATATTTTACTTGCAACTGTAATATATAAAAAGATAAAGGCATCATTCTAAATTATTTTCTTAGCTTAAATGACATTTCAAAATATTTAAAATTTTATAAATCAACCCACTAAAAAAGGTAGATGAGGTCTAGTTCTACTAATAGGGATTTAGTAAGATTACTGGTTTTTAAACTTGGACTTAAACACAGACAACAGTATGGTGATTACAAGAGGGAAACGGGGATGGGAGGAGATAGAAGAGGGTAAAGGGGGGATAGAGGGTGACAAAGAGAGACTTGAATTTGGATGGTGAACACACAATACAATATACAGATGTTGTATTATAGACCTGTACACTTGACACCCACATAATTTTATTAACCAATGTCACCCCAATAAATTCAATAAAAATTTTAAAATTTAAAAAGAAATACATAAAGTTGGCCCTACCAATAATGTATTTTGTTTGGTTTCACATCCACTCTCCAAACTTTTAATTCAAATAAGGTAGAAGGAAATTTTTGATTTAAGTATTAGGACATCTTATAACTTAGTACAAATCATGAAAAGATAAAATGTTATGTCGCACTTATCACCTGTTGATGTTTTATATATTTAGACACTTAAATGTAATCAAGCAAAATTATAACTAAATTTAGAGAAGCATTCAGAAAACATTGTTTTAAAAAGCAGATCTAAAGACATAAACTGGCTTAAGTGTTCTTTTAGTCTAGAGTTACTTCCTAAACACAGAATGTTTGTATAACAGTGAGTGAGTGACTTTAAGGAGCTATAAAATAGTAAAATAACTGTCTTTAATAATTCTGGCAACCCATACATCATTATATGTTGCCTCCTTTGCAGTTCCTTCTTCAGTAAGAATTTCTTCATATAAATCCAAACAATTTCTGGATGGTTCACAGGATTTGGAAGAACTGTCTAAAACAAACAAAAACCCTTACATTAAAATATGTATTTCCAGGTTCAATGCAAACTGTCAAAATTCCAATGTCATTTTTCACAGAAATACAACACTCCCCAAATTTGTATGCAACCACGAAGCTGCAAATAGCTAAATCAATTTTAAGAAAGATCAAGACTGAAGGCATCACAATTTCTTTCTTTTTTTAAAAAATATATCTTTATTGATTTCAGAGAGAGGAAAGGAGAGGGAGAGAAACATCGACGAGAGAGTCATTGATCAGCTGCCTCCTGCATACTCCCTGCTGGGGATTGAGTCCAAAATCCGGGCATGTGCCCTGACTGGGAGTCAAACTTCGATCTCCTGGATTCTACGTCAATGCTCAACTGCTGAGCCATGCCCGGCTAGGCACAATTTCTGATTTCAAACTATAATACAAACCTAGAGTAATCAAAACTGTATGTACTGGCATAAAAACAGACATACAGATCAATGGAACAAAACACAGAGCCCCAAAATAAAGCCACACACATATGGCCAATTAATCTATGACAAAGCCAAGAATATACAATGGGGAAAGAATAGCCTCCTCAATAGTGTTAGGAAAACTGAACAGCCACATGCAAAAGAATAAAACTGGATCTCTTTCTTCCACCATATACAACAATCAACTAAAAATGTATTAAAGAGTTGAATGTAAGACCTGAAACCATATCATACATCTCCTTGGGGGCAGGCAACACATGGGGGTAAGCTCCCAGACGTTGGTTTTAGCAATGACTTTTCTGGATTTGACACCAAAAACAAAGCCAACAAAAGCAAAAATAAATAAGTGGGACTACATCAAATTAAAAAGCTTCTGCACAGGCCCTGGCTGGCTAGCACAGTTGGTTAGAGCATCATCTTGTTATGCCAAGGATGCACGTTTGATCCCTGGTCAGGGCACCTACAAGAAACAATCAACAAATGCATAAATGAATGAAAGAACAAAGCAATGCCTCTCTCTCTAAAATCAATTTAAAAATAAAATAAAAAAGCTTCCGCACAGCAAAGGAAACCTTCAACAAAATGAAAAGGCAACCTGCCCAATGGGAGAAAATATTTGCAAATTATCTGATAAAAAGTTTAATACCCAAAGTGTATAAAGAACTCACACAACTCAATACAACAACAAAATCTGACTAAAAAATGGGCAAAGAAACTGAACAGACATTTTCCAAAAGACATGAAAAGGTGCTCAACATCATTAATCATCAGAGAAATGAAGACCAAAACCACAAAGATACATCACTTCACTTCAGTTAGAACAATTATTAAAAAGAGATATCAAGTGTTGGAAAGGATGTAGAGAAAAGGGAACCCTTGGTACACTGTTGGTGGGAATGTAAACTGGTACAGTTAATATGGAAAAGAAAAAATTAAAAATAGAACTACTATATGAACCAGCAATCCCAGTTCTGGGCATACATCGAAAGGAAATGAAAACAGGATCTTGAAGAGATATCTGGACTGTCATGTTCACTGTGGCATTATTCACAATAGCCAAGATATAGAAATAACTTAAGTGTCCAACAATAAATGAATGAATAAAGAAGATGTGTGTGTGTGGGGGGGGGGGGTACACACCATAATGGAATATTATTCAGTCATGAGAAAGGAGGACATTCTGTCATTTGTGACAACATGGATGGACCTTGAGAGCATTATATTAAGTGAAATATGTCAGAAAAAGACACATACTGTATGACATCATTTACATGTGGAATCTAAAAAAGCCAAATGCACAGAGAGACCAGAATAGTGGTTAGTAGGAGCCTGGGGTGGGGGAAAAGATATGCTGACCAAAATACAAACTTCCAGCTATAAGATGAGTAAGTTCTGGTAAGCTAATGCATAGCATAGTCATTAGAGTTAATACACTATACTATATAACTGAAAGTTGCTAACAGAAGAGATTTTAAATGTTCTCACCACAAGAATGAGATAGTAATTATATAATGTGATGGAGGTGTTAGCTAACTCTATGGTGGTAATCATTTTGCAATACACAAGTGTGTCAAATTAACACATTGTACACCTTAATCTTATGTCAATTATATCTCAATAAAGGTGGGGGGGGGGAGGAATAATATATGTTAAGATTTTGGATGTTGTGTCTATCGCAACTCAATGGACTACATATTTCTCCATCTCATGCATTTCATCCATTATCTATATTGATTTCACAGATGAGAGTTGGAAAACCAATTTACCTAAAATGTTTGTGTCAACAAATCAGGTGTGAGGGTGATACGTGTTCAAAGCTTTGAGAGATTTGATCGTGGAAAAGGTTTCCAATTCAGATAGGTCATGAGCCTCTCTGCATATCACAATCTTACTGATAGTTATTTATAGTAACTATCCTTTTTAAAAGTTCTAGTATCATGTAACCTGTGACAGTATGAGTAGTAATACGCAGAGACAAGACCACCAATTGCTTTTCAATGGTACAAAATATTTTTGCACAAGGTCCAATTAAATCTGAGACCTAGATGAAAAACAAGTCTGTGTGCTAATTTGTTTTACTGATCAAGCTTTGGGCAAGCAAATAATTACCAAAGTGTAATAATTTCAAAAAATGGGCAGATTGTTCAGGATCTATGAGTTACTCTAAAAATGAGTAACAAACACTTTCGCATAGTGAGGCGTGGCTCAGTAGTTGAGCATTGACCTAGGATCCAGACAATCGGGGTTCAATTCCTGGTCAGGGCACATGCCTGGGTTGCGGGCTCAGTCCCCAGTCGGGGACGTGGAGGAGGCAGCCAATCAATGACTCTCTCATCATTGATGTTTCTGTCTCTCTCTCTCTCCTTCTCCTTTCCTCTCTCTGAAATCAATAAAGATATATTTAAATAATAATAATAATAAAAAAACAAACACTTTCAACAGACTAACCAAACAAAATGAAACTATTTTATTATAGAATTTACATACCAGAAGTAGCACTGTCCAACCCAGCATATATGTCCAAAGAACCTTCATCATTATTTTTAAGAGGAGAAGCTGCAAGAAAATTAAAGACTAGTTAAAACTAACTTATTTCACTTAGGGAAGGTTTTTGCTGTTGTTTTTTTGAGTTATCATTGTGTCTTTATTTCTATTCTCTACTATGAAAACTTCCTAGGATAGTTTTTCCATTCCTACTTTGAGGAACCAGGAAAAGACAGAGACTTTATTAGTCTTGCACCAAAAAAGAATTACTTAACAGTTTATACAGCCTTATAAACAGGAAGATCTTAGCACATAGATTTATGACTCTATTACCTCAAACATATACTTAAAAACTCATTTTCAAAACATACTAGTGAGAAGGTTCCAATTCCAGTAATAGCAGAATAGTTTCTATCAGATCAATCCTCCTGCAGGTAACAACTATAAACTCTAAACAAAATATTAAAAGTTATCTGCAGTCGAATGCTCTACCACTAGCCTTAGTTTGACCATTCTGCCATAAATACAAATACTAAATCATTACTGTGTACACATGAAACTAATATGTTATATGAAAATTTATCTCATTTATAAAAAAGAAGCTATCTAAAGAACTAAAGAACCAAAGAGCAATTCAAAGCATGAAGTAACTAGAAGGGAGACAACACCTAAAAGAAGAAAACAGCACTGTGAGAGTTCCCTATCCATTTTTTATTGCAATTTTTTGTGGAAGAATAGGTCCTACCTAGTAGGAACGACACTGGGCAGTGAAAACTCAGATGGAAACCTCTAGTCCTAATAGGTTGAAGAACCAGAGAAAAAACTTTGGAAGTGGTAACAGCAACTAGAAAGTAACAGAAAGGATTCCCCAAATTGTGCCCAAATCTCTGAGGGACTCCCAAACTACACAGATAAATATTAAAACTGCAAACAGTCCAGCTAAAAAAAAATCTGATAAGAGATTTCAGCTGCTACCCACTAAAGGAAAGACAGAAGTCTAAGTTCAGCCAAGTTAAATACATGCTAAAATTTAAAACAGCAACACACTTCAGAGAAATGAATATAGCAAAATCCAATGTCTCTATAAACATAGCATTTACAATATCCAGAATGCAACAGAAAATTACTACATAGGAAATCTTGGCAGAGAAATAGAAACAATGAAAAGAACCAAATTAAAAATCCTAAAACAGAAAACTACACTATCTAATGTAAAAAATTTAACTAAATGTGCTTTTGACAGAAGAGCCAGTAAGCTTAAAGATGGATCAATAAAAATTACCCAATCTGAAGAACAAAGAGGAAGAAAAAAAGAACAGTATCCTACAAGACAATATCAAAAGTTCTCAGTGGGAGTGGGGAGGAAGTCAAAGAGGGTAAAAGGGGTGATAAATGGTGATGGAAGGACTTGACTTGGAGTGGTAAACACACAATACAATATACAGATGATGAATTATAAAACTGTACACCTGAAACCTATATAATTTTATTAACCAATGTTACCCCAATAAATTCTATAAAAAAATAAATTTAAAAAAAGAAAAAGTCACATACTATACATCTGAATTCCCAAAAGAAAAGGAAATGCGGTAGAAAATGATACTAGAAGGACTAGAAATGGTAAATAAATTAGTGATTTAGATTATTTTCTCTTATTTTAATTCCTTTTAACTTCTCTAAGATTCACAGAACAATTTAAAATAAAAATTGTAGCATTGTATTGTGGGGTTTATGACATCTTTAACATAAGGGATGGATGGAGGTTAAATGCAGCTGTATGTACAAGATTTCATCTTACATGAAAAGGACAACACTAGTAAGTAGACTGCAAATGTTAAAGATGCAATTGCAAAGCCTTACAGAGGTATAGCCAAGAAGATGATATATGAATTAGAATGGAATTATAAAACATATTCAAATATTTGAAAGAAGCATGAAAATCAGAAAGAAAAAAAAATCATGAAGACAAACTAAAATATTAAAATAACAGATCTAAATCCAATCACAATAATAAAGAACAGTACTGGGTTAACTGATAAACTTGATATAAAAATGGCAAAGTATTCTATCAGTGTTAAATTTACTGAGATTGATATCCTGTTGTTATTACGTAAGAAAAACAACATTTTCTCACAAAATACACACATTGAAGTATTTGGAAATAAAGGACCATAACATATGCAACTTAATCTCAAATGGGTCAGGAAACAATTGAGTGTGTGTATTTAAAAAGAGAGTATGTGCACAGTGATAAAGCCACTGGCATAAAATATTACTAAGAGGTAAATTTGGAAGAAACTAGGTAAGTGGTTTGTTATATGTTATTATTCTTGGAACTGTTTTGTAATCCTGAAATTATTTCCAAGTAAATATAATAAAACATATTATGAAAATGTTATAGGAATAAAATTTTTCATGAAATCATGTTAAGTGGTAAAAAGTAAAATACATACTGTGACCATAACTATCAAAAAATATATGTATGTAGACAGGAACTTGTGAGAGAGTAATGTGTAGAAATAAATACAGCTATTTCCAGCTAATGAGATTAACAATGCAGTTTGTCCTTCAAAATAATAAGAAGAGTTGCATATGTAGTGAAAGTTTACCATTTGTGAGTCTATATAAAAAGTAAAGGTGATCATTATGTTATACTTTCAATTTTTCTGTTGGTTTAAAATTATTTCAAAGAAAAATATAAGAGAAATATACAGCAGCATAACAATTCAAAGTTATATAAGCAAAAAATAATTAACAACACAAAACGAATAATACTACCCAGAGTGGTATTTGGCCATATTTTGTGTGAATCCTTTCACATCTATGAAAAATAATTTTTTAAAATAGACATTTAAGCAAAAATAGAATTCTACTAGACATGTTTTACAACTGCCATTTTCATTCTATACCATAGTAATGGTAATTCTAATCAATTAATAAACATTTATAATCTCACAAAATGTAACAAGGTTGTCATAGCATAATAACAATTAAGACAAAAGAACTAGTAAATGTTATATCAGGATCTGGAAGTTTACATTCCACATATTATTTAAAATATTTCCATTTTATAAGCTTATTTTACTACCAGGTCTTGGCCACCTTTCATACTGTGAATTTTCCCTTGAACAACAATAAACAAGCATCACTGCATTTACAGGAAGTATTAACTTCAAGAGGAACAAATACCTATCTTATATATTTTTTGGATATGACAATAAAAATTATTACCACTTACATTTACAAAGTTGCTAATTCATTACATTTAAGAGGCTTGAAAGCATACAATAACTAAAAGTTCACATTTATTAGGCACTTCCTATTTGCCAGGGACTTTATTGTACTAATTCGTTTATGTGTGAGGAGAAAAAGTTGATAGTGTTTTCAATGAGAATAAATAAATGGTTTTGTAAGTAAATTTAGAAAGACAATTAAAACGAGCTCTTACCAGAAAAGACATCAAATAAACTTGCTCCATCACCATTTTCATCATCTGCTGCCATGATCCTATTTCCTTTTGATAGATGCCATCTGAAGTATTAGATATAAAGATTTTCCACTATTAAAAATCAACCTCACAATTCAAAGAAAAAATCTAGCTTTAAGTTAAGAAGCAAACTTTCAAATTTGGACACACTGAATGAGTTCACTCTCTATCATGATTACAAAAAAAAAAAGCCCAACATTTTCCAAAAGGTAAAACTATAAAACAAAACTATGAAATTGGATGATGTGGTTAAGCCATGTCACGTCACAAGGTAAATGATGCTAATTTAATAAAACAGCCCAAAGTACAAATTAATGTTTAGACTAAAATAAGCCAACTATCATATCAAATAAATACAACTATATGGTAACTTCTATGAGTCCTCTTAGCAAATCATCAAATTTGGAGGTGGTCTTGGGGAAACCAAACATACATGTTTTCAACCAATAAGATAGTAAGAAAGGCAAACAGCAAAAAGTCTGATACTAGAGTAGATTGGAAAACAAGTAATCTCACTCATCACTCAAATGTACACTGGTACAAGCTCTATGGAGGCAATTTCATAATAGTTATCAAGTTTTTAAATGCAAATACTCTTTGACCCAACAATTCCACACCTAGTAATTTGTTTGACAGATATATAAGCACATGGTTACAAAAATGTTAAGTACAGAAATATTGAATGCAGTGCTATTTGCACTGGCAAGACTGAAAGCAACATAAGAATTCAAAACAGTAAAAAAAGAAATCTGACTTGTCTGACATTCACTAACATCTGATATTCTCTATTCTGCCAGTTAAACTTTATGAATGTTGACTAAGGTCAATGAACTATGGCCACTGTGGCTACTTCGAGTTATTAAGGGTAACTGTGCCTACATAATTCTGCTCCCACCAACTGAGACATACACTTACCAACAGCCAGGTGCATTTACTATCAAATCCAATTATGTTTGTTTCCTTATTTTTCTAAGTAACAGTATGATTAAATATATTACACCAAAGGGAGTTATTTTCCAGTGAAAACTAGGCTGAATGTTTTAGAAGAGGTGAATAGAAAGACATACACAATTGCTTGTCAAATCAATCAAGAAATAACCCAAAATAGTGGAAGAGAAAATCTAGTCTACACTCAGATTGATTACAAGTATCTCTACTTTAATGAAAAAGTGCTAGAAATCATAAGCAATGTCATGGGTGTGGTTTATGGAAGAAAGATGTCAGAACTCTAATCACTGGATTTATACTAAAAAAAAGAAAAAGTCATGGTTCTATCACAAGAGATACAATTTATATTATTCTTTTAAATAAATTTAAGTATGTACTGTTTATCTTCATTCCCCCATGCCCCATTCCAACAATATTTTCCAATTCGCTGATTTAATGAACTGCTATATTATATAGCAATTAAATGGCATAATCACATCTGGCAAATATCACAACTGACTCTTGATAAATCAAGAACTCACTGGAGCAGAAATTTATAGGCTATCTAATAGTAATAACCTACTACTAGTTGTAAGCTATGCCATGGAAAAGGAAGCACCAGTCAGTGGGTTTTTTACAGAATGAAGATCAGTTAAGCTAATGATTTGGTTAACAGAGACCAAACGTATCAGAGTTTTCATGGCAAATTGTTTCACAGGTTTAGATTTACTGTTGGCAGTTATTACCTTAAAAAAAAATTTCTACCTGGTCTAGTAAGTTAAAACTGGGGGGAAAAACACAAGAGAACTGACGAATCCTGGATCTTTTGTCCCTCATCTGTCTTAAATATTTCTCCAACTTTCTGTGGAACCATTATCTCCGCACCTTAATCTCTAGACCTCGCACCACCGAAGCTATTTTTTTAATTACTTACAAATTTAAGAGAAAGTGACTGCTCATTTATTAGTCATATCATATGTTGTATGAAGAGTTCTTCAAAATTATTTCTGAGAATAGTATATACAATAATATAGTCCTGGCTGGGTAGCTCAGTTGGTTAGAGCATTGCCTTGACACCCCAAGGTTGCCGGTTCGATCCTCAGTCAGGGAACATACAAGAATCAACCAATAAATGTATAAAAGTGGAACAACAAATTGATGTTTCTCTCTCTCTTCCTCCTTCCTCTCTCTCTAAAATCAATCAATCAATAAAAAGAAGTTACATATGTGGTTTCTCACTATGTACACAAAAAAGTTAAAGGAACTTGGCAATTATCATGACTATCAATTCCAAATCCACCCTTCTGAGATAATGGAGGTGGGCCTACTACATATTTCTCCTTTGCTAACTGGCACAATGGTAAGGCTTGTTGGTTGAGTGTGCTGGAGGGACACTGGAAAGGAAGGAGGTTTCTCTTCCTATTGTCAGTGTGCCTTACTGTTTCTCCTTCAGAGAGCATGCTTTCCTTAGTATTCTGTTTGTGTAGCAGACCAAGTTTCTCCAGCACTAGGTTCCTGCAGAACACTAGTTTTCTACATGCTTGCCTCCTATAACTAAGGTTTCTATTACAATAAGCTCCCATAGGATACAGCTTCCTTCTGCTAGGCTCATAGAGAGGGCAGCTTCTCGAATTCTTAGATCTCACAGGCACGTGACACCCAGGAGCATCCAGGAGCTTCCCTATGCACTTCCTCTGCCAGATTGAAAGCAGTGTCATCAGGAAGGGAATTAGCTACCTCTCCGCCATCCAGTTAGCCCCAGTCATGCTCTTCCCAATGAGGGGGAGACAGCTCTTCTTTATATGATCTATCTCAACCCGACTGACCTGGGAGTAAATCCCTCCCATTGACTTGCCAACAGAAATCAACAGCCCTCGGGAAGGGGGAGGGTGCACCTGGAGTGCCCAGCTTGGGTGACTGGGGAGGCTGTGCCACTGGACCCTACAGGACACCTACTATATTAGGCCGCTCTACCAAGCCTGGGAGATGCAGCAGCTGTACCTAATACATAGAAATAAACACAGGGAAGGTTGCCACATCGAGGAGACAGAGAATCATGTCCCAAATGAAAGAAAAGAACAAAACTCCAGAAAAAGAACTAAACAAAATGGAGACAAGCAATCTATTAGATGCAGAGTTCAAAACACTGGTTAAGGATACTCACTGAACTTACGGGAAGAGTAGATGAACCTAGAGAGAACTTCAACAGCATTAAAAAACGACATGGAAACCATGAAAAAGAACCAGTCAGAAATGAAGGATACACTAACTGAAATGAAGAATAATTTACAGGGAATCAACAGTAGAGTAGATGAAGCTGAGAATCAAATCAGCAATTTGGAATATAAGGGAGCAAAAAACACCCAATCAAAACAGCATAAAGAAAAAAAGAATCCAAATAAATGAGGATAACATAAGGAGCCTCTGAGACAACTTCAAGCTTACCAACATTCACATCATGGGGATAATGGAAGGAGAAGAGAGATAGCAAGAAATTAAAAACCTATCTGAAATATAATGACAGAAAGCTTCCCCAACCTGTTGAAGGAATAGACATACAAGTCCAGGAAGCACAGAGAGTCCCAAACAAGATGAACCCAAAGAGGTGCACATCAAGAGACATAATTAAAATGCAAATGGTTAAATAAATAAAATGCAAAAGGTTAAAGACAAAGAGAAAATCTTAAAAGTAGCAAAAGAAAAGCACTTCATTATCTATAAGGGAGCTTCCATAGACTGCCAGCTGATTTCTCAACAGAAACTTTGCAGGCCATAAGGAATGGCAAGAAATATTCAAAGTGATGAAAAGCAAGGACCTACAACCAAGATTACCCAGCAAAGCTATCATTTAGAATCAAAAGACAGATAAAGAGCTTCCCAAACAAGAAAAAGCTAAGGAGTTATCACCGACAAACCAGTATTATACAAAATGTTAAAGGATCTTCTGTAAGAAGAAAAAAAAAAAAAGAAATGGCAATAAATACGTATCTATCGACAACTGAATCTAAAAAATAAAATAAACAAGCAGAACAGAAACAGACTCATAGATCAAGAGAACATAATTTTATGGTTGCCAGATGGGAGGGGGGGTTGGCAGATGAATGAAAAAGGTGAAAGGATTAAGAAGTACTAGTTATAAAATAGTTCAGGGATGTAAAGTACAGCATAGAGAATAAGTCAATAATATCCTAATAATTATGTATGGTGTCCGATGGGTTCGAGATTTATCAGAATGATCACTTGGTACGTTATATAATGTCTAATCACTGGGATATACACTTGGAACTAATATAACATTGTAGGTCAACGGTAATTGAAAAATAAAAATTTTTTTAAAAATGAAAAAAGCTATCTTCATCTTTTTCTTGAGAAAAAGACTTGTATTTATTGAGCTATTTTACTTATTAGGAATTTAACATCTTAACTGTGCCAACAGTTAATGAAAATTGTTACTGTTCCTGTTGGTGCATGGGTAGGTAGGTTTTGAGTATTCTGCCTTTATTTTTCCCATAAACCTGTTTTAGTGAGTTGCAGAACTAAAGATAGCTCAAGAATGCATGTAACATTACAGTAGAAATGTCTGTGCTTGCATTTCCTGATATATGCCATGTACTTCAACTCCCGGTATCTTGCTCATTCTGTTTCTTTACCTAGATTGCTCACCCCCTTCCCAAACCTAGTTACCATAAAAGAGAAGACCCTTTTCTACAGACAAAATTTATCCCCATTACTTTATTCTACTGATACAATAAACCCATTATTACTACATTTAGCAACCTCTACTGCAATTGTTTGCTTTTTGAAGTTGTTCTTATACTTTCCCATGTATCAGAAACACCTGGAGAAATTAAAACACGACTGATGGGCTTCATCCCCAAAGTTTCTGATTCAAAGGTTTGGAGTGAGGCTTGAGAATTTGCTTTTGTTGTTGTTGTTAATCCTTACCTAAGGATATTTTTTTCCATTGACTTTTAGAGAGAGTAGAAGGAAGGGAGGGAGGAATGGGGAAGGAGGGAGAGAAAGAAAGAAAGAGAGAGAGAGAAACATGGATGTGAGAGAGACACACATTGATTGGCTGCCTCCCTTGTGTGCCCCAACTGAGGATGGGGATCAAATTTGCAACCCAGGTGCATGCCCTTGACCGGAGATTGAACCCAGGATGCTTTGGTGTGCAGGCCAACACTCTAACCACTGAGCAACACTAGCCAGGGCTCCTTTTTTTAAAGTTTTTTTTATTGATTTTGAGAGAGAGAGAGGAAGGGAGAGGGAGAGAGAAACATCAATGTGAGAGCAAAACATCAATTGGCTGCCTCCTGCACACCCCCTACCAGGGACCGAACCAGTAACCCTTCAAAGGATAGGACAATGGCTAGCGAACTGGACCACATCAGCCAGGGCAAGAGCTTTTTTCTAAAAAGCTCCCAGGTTATATGGCTGCTCCAAGGACCACACTTTGAGAACTACACTTTTAGATCAGTGCTGTCTAAAAGAACTTTTTACAATGATAAAAATGTTCTATATCTGAACTGTCCAATATGGTAACTACTACCCATATGTGGCTATTGAGTACATGAAATATGCACAGAACGACTGAGTGTATTAGCTTCCTATTGCTGCTCTAACAAATTACTACAAACTCAGTGACTTCACCACCACATATTTATTATTTTAGTCTCATTTACCATGAAAAGCTCAGAAAGGATTTCACAGAGCTGTGGTTATTACAATTTCAGTAACACCTACCTAGCTCCAAATGCTTATAAAAATGTATTTGAGCCCGGCCGGGCGTGGCTCAGTGGTTGAGTGTCGACCTAGGATCCAGGCGATCGGGGTTCGATTCCCGGTCAGGGCACATGCCCGGGTTGTGGGCTCGATCAATGACTCTCTCATCATTGATATTACTATCTCTCTCTCCCTCTCCTTTCCTCTCTCTGAAACCAATAAAGATATATTTTTTTTAAAAAAATGTATTTGAATACTTTGTTCCTAAGGAGAGGAATTCCTGGATATCAATCTTTTCTACAACTGCAAAAGACAAATTTATCTCTTTGGGTTAAATACTTGTCAGGCAAACACAAGGGGGTAGGAAAAAAGAGCAAGTATTGCCACAAAAAGTAGGGGTACCAGCTTAGATTTACATACTCCTCTGTTGCTCCTTCAGAATACAGAAAAAGTTGAAACTGTCTATACTAAAATATAGCCCAAAAGTCAGCAGTAAGATGCTAAAGTTAAAGGTAAACACATTCCTTTAAGTCCAAGCCCAAAGATCATCTTTCCATCAACATCTGTCACCTCCAGACCCCTCTACTGCTTTGAGTAGCATTAGCATTTCCTAATAGCCTACTGATTCTCCTCTGCAATGTGTCTCCCATTTATCCTCATTCTTGCCACTTGAATTTGTTTTGGGCTCCCACTATAGCTATCTATGTCCTCTCTCCAAATACATGCTACACACAACTGTTGGGTTAGTTCTTCTAAAGCAATCTTGCTCATATCACTTCCTGCTCAAAAACTATCCATTACTTCCCAATGTCTAATGAATAAAATCCAAACTCTTCTTTGATATAACCTGGTGCCTTCCTTTCCAGCCCCATCATTCATTATCCCAAGGTTTTCAAAATCCCAAGGTTCAGTGAATTCCTGTTTGCAAACACAATTCCTGACAGCATCTCCCTACCACATCTATCTATGAGCTCATAAGCAAGTCTTGATGTGAATATCCACAGGTTAGAATGTGAAAATAAGGTTCTAGAAAAGTCACGTGATACATTACACAATTAAAATACTTGGACTTCATCCAGTATGGAATGGGGGAACCACCAAAGGTTTTTAAAGCAGAGCAATACCATGATCAAATGTACACTTCAGAAATTTAACTCTAATAAGAAAAATATAGAAAATGTTAGTGGCAAGGAGGATAGAAAAAGCCATTATAACAGTGTCAAAGACAATGAGGGGTGACTAAATTATTAGTAGTGGAAATAAAGACAAGAAGCAGATCAGCGAGATTTCTGTGGCAGAATCGAAAAGATTTAATGGAAAGTGTATTCAAATGTCCATTCTTGACCACTTCAAAACCATTGCCTGAGTTCTCTTTTCCAAATACAAATCTGATCACAATCCCTCATCTGCTTAAAACCTTTCAGTGCTTTCTGCTGATTTAAGGTTTAAAAAAATTTTTTGTCATAATTCTTCTTACAAAACCCTGAGTGACCTGGCCTCTGCCCACCCCTCCAGTGTTGGTCTACACCACTCTCTCCCATTCCCCAGCAGTCTTTGCTCTGATCATATTGTCCTTTTTTTAGCTCCTTGAACATGCTATTTGTTCCTTCCCACCACAGGGTCTCTGTAGAGAGTGCTTTTTTCTTGAAGTTCTACCTTCAGTAATTCATCTTTGATATTTTTGCCTAAGTAATGTTTGAGCCTTCCCTAACCTCTCTCCCCACTAGGTCAGGCCCTCTGTTAAATATTCTTATACCACTGTGTCCATTTTCTATATGGCCTCTTTTCAGTTTATGATTATATTTTTTGTGGTATTCCTGGTAAAATGTTCATCTCACCCACTGGACTATTAAGTTCCATGAAGACTAGGACAGGCTTTGTTCTATCCACCACTGTATCCCCAGCTCTCAGCACAGGGCCTGGCAGGTTGGTAGGTGACTGAATTAATGAAATTCCTAATTTAGTAAAAGACAGCTCTGAGGTTCCTAGCTTTGATAACAAAGTAGTCATGCTTTTAACTGAAATGGAGAACCAAAGAAGACATCCAGATGAAGATGTCCCATACATAGCTGGAAACAATAGTAGAGAAAACAAGACATAACTGGTACAGTTGAGATTACTCTCTTCACGATTGTCCTGGAAAGGAAGGGAGGAGAAAGAGGAGGAAGGATTATATACCAACATCTCCTGGGAAGAAGAGAAAGAGGAAGAGGAAGAGGAAGAGGAAGAGGAAGAGGAAGAGGAAGAGGAAGAGGAAGATGGGCTTTTGCAAATTTGCTCTCACTTTCCCCCAATTGAGGATCTCAATACACAATGAGAGCTGACACTGATAGGAATGTTGTACCTATGAAAAGTATAGAGGTGCCCGACTGGTGTGGCTCAGCAGTTGAGCATCGACCTACGATCCAGGAAATCTGGGTTCGATTACCAGTCAGGGAATAGACCCAGAATGCAGGCAAGACCCCTAGCAAGGGGTGTGCAGGAAGCAGCTGATCAATGACTCTCTTTCATCATTGATGTTACTATCTCTCTCTCTCTCTTCCTCTCTCTGAAATAAATAAAAAAATATATATTTTTTAAAAAGATAAGTGTAGAGGCAAAATTTTAAACACTGAGAAACACAATAGTGAAAGAAAAGAATTACAGGCTCAGTCATAATCTTTTGAGGAACAATTCCAACAAATTCAGAAGTGAAGGTGAAGCAAATGAGAGAAGGATCACCTAGCACTGTGATACAACAATGCCTTTAAAAGAGTCTAAAGGAATTAAAAAAAAAAAAAAAAATGGGAATGCAATAAGCATTTGTAGAGAAAAATAGGAAAAAGCCAGAGGAGAGGGAGTGCACTTTGAGGCTCATGGGAAAGGCTAAATTTAATACAGCAAGATCCCTGAAGAATATGTAAGAGAAAATAACAACAAACACTACATATACTGAAAACTACATGCCAGACACTGATCTAAATATTCTAAATACATTATTAAATTACTTTAATCCTCCACAAATCCTATGAGATATATACTACTATTCTTTTTCCTTTTTACAGGTGAGTAAACAAATACAGATGATTAAGAAACTTACCCCAACGTTAAACAGCTGGTAAGTGGCAGGTCTGGGATTGGATCCCAGCTTTGTCTCCAAAGCCAGGTGACAAAGTCAAGAATATTCATTAGAGAGACGTGCCTAATTTTTTTTTAAAGGGGGCCATTTCCTTGTAAAATGGCAAGAAATGCTAGGAGATAACTGGGATAGGGGAGGAGGGAATTCTTTCCCTGAATGTCTCTGTCCCCCTCCAAAGAGGCGCTGAGTGAGATGGGGAAGCGGCATTGAGGAGTGGGAAAAGTTTGGAGCTGGAGCTGTAAAGAATGGAAAAGACCAGAAAAGAACTTGGGAAAGACCAGGGAAGCATCAGAGTCAAAGCCAACTTGATCCCTGAAGCATTTATCCTGAAATTCTGCGAATTCTACATTAACATCTGAGTTAGGGCCTACGACGTGTCATGGTTCTAAGCACTATGGAAATCAAGAAAATTCTCTGGGTCAAAACAATCTCAGAAACCACCACCATCAATGACCACCTGACACTTACGAAAACCCATTCCTCCAAAGAATCCCATCCGAAAGCCTTTAAGACTACGTTCGAAGACGAGATTGTTTTGGGGGGAACCGGAATGGGGCGGAAGGAGCAGTTTTAAGTGCTACCCCAACATACGTTCGCCCCCAGCACCAGCCTGGACCACCTCCAGGGAGGAGAGGGACGCGTGTGCGAGCCCAGAAGCTGCAGCCCAGGGCGACGGGAACCCGTCTACCCGTGGGCCCCGGACATAAGGCTCACCCACCCCTCACCGACTCCGCCGCTCTCTTCGACTCCGTGGCTCCCCGGACGCCGCCGGCCTCCGCTCCGGGCACTACTTCGCCATGTAGTCTCTTCCCCAGCAGCCCCGTACGGACCGGACTGTCGGGAATTTACCCACCCTGCCTGGCCCAAAATAGCCCGGAATCCTTTCGGTGCAACGAGGTCTCCCTGGCATTTCTGCCAATGCCGGAGCGCAACCAGGTCGCGGAGGCGGGACTGAGCGCCCACGGCCAATCAGGACAGACGCAAAGCACGTCCCGGCGCACAGAACTAGTTCCCGCCGCCGGCAGGGGAAAAAAACCCAACACGGTTTGGCGCCAAACTCCAGTGGTCTACAGGGTCGGCGGAAGGGAGAGGGGGCGGGGCCGGAGCTGGCGGGGAGAGAGACCGAGGGGAGCTTCCCTACGGAAGGGGTGGAGCCTCGACCAGGGCGGGGTCTGGGAAAAGCTCTTTTAATGAAAGGGAAAGTAAACTATGAGGTCTTGTATTTATTTGGTCCTTCTTTCCAAAAATTCTGTTTCGTATCAACCACATTCTAGACATGGTGCTGGACGCTGGCTCAATAACGATGAATAAGCGCTGTTCCTGGCCCTCAGACGCTGTCCTGGATGATGGGCGAACAACTTAGCCCAGGGTGTTAGGAGCTTTGAGGAGGCGTAGGAGTCGAATAGCGGAGCGGGAGAGAGCTTTTATAGAGGGTAAAGTACCCGAAGAGCCTAACAGAGCCTACAGGAACCTGAGGTGAGGGTAGGGTTCAGCCTCCGGAGGCGGAGCCTGCGCCCACAGACTGGTGAGGAAGTAAAACAAAGCCAACTTCCTCGGCTACTTCATCTGGGGATCTTGATTCGTCTTGACCCCCAGCCATTTCCTCCAGTTTGTTCATATTAACAACTTGCAAGTTCATATCAACTTATCACATATTTATGATTTTCTAAAAGACCTCCCATTTGGAAGAATATGTTTTGGGAGAAAACTGGCTTCCTAGATTCTCCCCCAACCAGCTTAGCTTCTAAGAAGTTAGACACTTAGGCATTCCAGGTATTGGAGACTGGGAACCAGTAAAGGGTTGCAACCACAAGGCCTTCATTGTTGCTGAAGCAGAAAGGCTGGAGGGGGAAGCAGGAGTCAGACCTTGAAAGGCCATATATATGTCAAAGAGCTTGGAATTTACCTTTAAATGATGAGGCATGGGGACCACTGAAGGATTTTAAGCTTGAGGTTGTCATGATCTGATTTGCTTTTTTTTTTAATCCTCACCTGAGGATATTTTTATCATTGCTTTTCAGAGAGAGTGGAAGAGGGGGGGTGGGGAGAGAAACATTGATATGAGATACAAATCAATTGGTTGCCTCCTGCATGTGCCCCAACCCAGGCTGGAGCCTGCAACGTAGGTACCTGCCTGAAATTGAACCTAGGACCCTTCAGTCTGTGGGACAACAGTCCAACCACTAAGCCAAACCGGCCAGGGCCTGATTTGCATTATTAAGACCCTTTGGCCTTGAGAAGGAGGATTCTGAAATGCTCTTGTAGTGATCCAGGCTACAGAAAATGAGGATCTGAAGGAGATGGTAAGAAAGGGGATAGATTTTAGAATATTTAGGAAATAACATCAACAAAGCTTAGTAAATGATTGAATGTTGGCTTTCAGCATAGTGTTTATCAAAAAATATTTATTGAGAACATAACATATATATTTCAAAAATAAGAAAAGGTTTCCCAAAAAATTCTTCCAGAAAAGTGACCTTTAAAGTCTCTCATTTCACTGGTACACTCTTAAATACTTTACATTGAATAAAAAGTTGTGATTGGTTTTTAAATATTCACTTGGAAAGATCTTAATCAGTGCCAATTTGGGAAACTTATAGAAGTCAACTGAAGAAATCAGTATTTTCGTAAAGGAAACAAATACGTGTTTTATGGAGTCTGAACTCACAATTGCAAATTGCTTTAAAAAAAAAAGCAATTCCTGTCTTGGCTCCGTCAACTAGCATGGCTCCGTGGTTGAACATCTACCTATGATCCAGGAGAACCCAGTTTGATTCCAGGTCAGGACACACATGCCTGGGTTGCAGGCTCCATCCCCAGTAGGGGGCATGCAGGAGGCAGCCAATCAACAGCTCTCTCTCATCATTGATGTTTCTCTCTCTCTCCCTCTCCCTTCCTCTTGCTGAAATCAATAAAATATCCTCAAAAAATATAAAATCCTCAAAAAAACCAAAACAGATTAACAAGAGAAAAACACAGAAATTTAGTAACATGTATACTTCATATATACATGGGAAATAGCCAGGGAAAAAATAATTAACTACGCAAGTGAGGGTCATTTTCATCCATTGTCCTTTGTCAGCAGGGAACCCTCTCAATCTTTTTGGAATTTTAAAAATATTATTTATTTGGAAATGTTTTCTACCCTTTTCACAGTTCATTCATTCTGGAAGTTCTGTGTTGAGTCTGAGTTCCCCCAGAAGCAAACATTCAAACTCTAGAAAAAATATTCAAATTTAAATACACTTTTAAAAGATTTAATCAACACAATACAGTATATGATGATGTGTTGTGGAATTTTGTTAACCAGTGTCACCCCAATAAATTCAAAAAAAAGGGGGGAAAATGTTGAATCATAGTACCCTATAGGCTTGTTGTTGGAGATCTGCCCATGTCAGTACAGAAACATCTACCCCCTTTTAAAACACTTTTTAGAGGTATAATTTACACAAAGTGCACAAATCTTGTGTGCAGTTGGTTTTGCTTTATCATCTACCAGAATAACCACCACCCAGAGCAAGATAATGAAACCTTTCCATTACCCTAAGAAGTTCCTTCAGGCCCCTTTGCAATTAGTAACACCAAAAGCAACCATTAGCCAGACTTTATCATTATTGTGGCTTGTTCTTGAAGTTCATGTAAATGTATTTTTAACTTTATGTACTCTTCTACTCCACTCTTTTAAAAATATTTTTAGAGAGAAACATTGATTTGTTGTTCCACTTACTTATGCATTCATTGGTTGATTCCTCCTGTATGTGCCCTGACCAGGAAAGAACAGACAGCGCTGGCTTATCAGGAGGACCCTCTAACCAACTGAGCTACCCGGCCAGGGCCCACTCTATCTACTCTTTTTAATGGTTTCAGAATGTTCCATAAAGCATGTATCAGACTTTAAACATTCCCCAACTGAACACCTATTTCAAATATATGCTGCAAGGGGCGTGACTGTCATACTTGTGTGCGAATTTCCATAGGCTAGAGGTCTAGAATTGCTGGATCCCAGATGGAGGAATGTTTCTCTTTCATATCCTATCTTTTTGCGTGTTGAGGCACGGGGAGGCACTGTGGGCTGAAAACTACACGTCTCCCTCGCTCCTCCATCTTGGCAAAATCTAGTCTCGTCGTCCGGCTGCGCGTCGCCTCCGGCCTTTCCATCACTAAGCCCGGGACCCGGTTCGCGTCAGCTCTCCCTGCTTGGATTCCCCTCCTGTAACTGGCGCAGTAGTGACGCCACGCGTTTCCGCTGCCTGGGGCGCGGGGGCGGGCCGTTCCCTCGTCGCCGTCGGCGTCGCGGACTGATGACGCAAGTGCCGCGTGCTCCCCCCACGTGTGCTGCAGCTCTCCCGGTGCCTGTAGAGCTGCTGCGGCCGCGCTTCCGGGGGGGCGTAGTTGGTAGCAGCTCGGGCTCGGGAACCTCCGCCGCTTTGGACCTCTGAGCGTGAAGCAGGGAGCTCTGTCGTTGCCCCGGGTAGAGGACCCGCGGTCATGGAGCACCTTTTGCTGGAGGTGGCGGCAGCGCCGCTGCGTTTAATCGCTGCCAAGAGCGAGAAGAGCCGCAGCGAGCTGGGCAGGTTCTTGGCCAAGCAGGTAAGAACCAGAGCGAGAGGGAAAACGCCCGGCGGACCCCGCTGCCCTCCTCGCGCGTGCCCCGCGGCCCTGCGTGGTGACGCGCAGCTTTAAGGGGACAGAGAAGCAGCGTCTTGTCATTCTGGCCCCCTCCCCAGGCTGGCCGGTGGCGGAGGCGTCGGCACGTGTTTGAGGAGATTGGAAAGAGCCTTTGTTTTTTATTTGGGAGAGCCTTCCCTTTTTTTCTCCACTGACTTACTCCATGCGGTGCTCTGACCCCGTGTGGCAGACATGGCTTTCGGAAAGAAATGTGGCTTATTTTTCTGTAATTGAGGTGGAAGTCTGCCCTTTTGCCATGTGTTTTACTTAAGTGTCCCGGGTCCAGCCGCCTCTGTTCGTTTGGGTGAATGTTTTTCCTTTTTGCCCTGTCCCTTCTTTTCGGCCTTTTGACTAGTATTGATTGCGTCCCTGCTGTGCCTAAGGCAGTGTGGTTTTGTGGGGAGACATAAATAAATCCGCTACGGTGTCTACCCCCAGGGAATCTAACATTTGTTTTTGAAGGCAGTTCATGAACAGAAAACACCTGAAGGAAAAAGCTAGACAGTGCTAACTGCATGATACCATAGTAATTATGAGGTAAATTAGAATTTTCTGGGAAATGGGTGTTTGGCCTTTTAAGAGCCTTTTCTCGTTGACTTCCCTCCCACTGCTCCCCTCCAGCTCCCCCACCCCATCTGAGTTTGGGACCCTTATCACGCATTTTTTTAACTTTTCATTTTAATTTCCTATTTTATGCTTCTCCACCCCCAGTATCCATTACCTTCAAAACAGATTCCCCACCCCACCCCAAACTCCAGTATTTAGAACTTATTCAGTAACAAATGTATTGTCTTTATATCTCATTGCTTAGGAGGCTGTGGCAGTATTTTGAGTCGGGAGTGGCAGGGAACTGTTTGGAAACAACACATTAAACGTGTGAAGCAAAGAGGAGGGAGTGGAAAATTTCCCTGGCATTTCTTCTGGCCTATGAGCCCCCAGTGAAGGGAATCACTAACAATTGGGGAGGTCTAGAAGGAAAACTGATTTTTGGTGGGCTGGAGTAAGGAGAGAATCATTTTAAATGAGCTGAGTTTGTGACAGGCTCCTGAATTATGGATTTCTGCTAGAGGTGTGTTTTGTTTTTTCCTTGTAAATGGGCTTTAGAATGTAGAGCAGAGGTTCTGA